TAATCTCCATGTACTTCTTTCGTATTCTTAGAACTTCATTTATAATTTACATTGTATTATTATCATTATTATCATTATCTTTTGTATATACACGGAGACATTATTTTCTTGGTGCCATAATAAAATTGTACTAAGGAATTGTATTTTCTACATCAAAGTTAAGTCATCAATGTACTTAGTAAAAAAAAAATTGCAAAGTTTGTTGGTAGAAATTTTCCAAGTGTTTTTTTTGTTGTTGTCTTTTCTAGTCGGAACTTTTGATCTCAAGCATTTTGTATTGGCTACAGGATAAAAGCATGATTAATTCATTCTTTCATGTGGTATTGTTTTTATGCCTAATAAATACATCAATTGTTTGCTGTGAATTTCAGTTGCAATTTTTTTTTTCTTCTGAAGACTGTCACATACAACGAAGTGATGATTTTTGATTGTTTGTTTGTTTGTACTAAAATACACACACACACACATTGAATCTTGATCAAATAATTGCATTTGAAAGAAGACACGAAAATGTACGCTTCAAATATTATAAGGCACTTAGCTCATCGCTAGCTTTGTACTATAATCAGTAGGCAACATATGGTAGTGAGTTGTATTGCTGGACATTGTAATTTGCTTAATTTTTGAATAATTCTGTGATCAAATCTGGAAACTGAAAGATCATCTTTCATCAATTATACTTCTTTTAAGGATGATAGGTCAGTCAGTCAGTCAGTCACAACGTATAACTTCATACTTGCGTACATCAATTCAGGTCGCCATACCACATTAGCACAGAGACGCAAGTGTCAGTTCAAATCCCGTAGTGGTGAAGATAGTAGAAGAATTAGTGGTAATGAAGAATTTTAGGGATCGAAGATATTATTCAAAAAATATAGTTCAGCGGAATAACTTTAGAAAGAAGATAGAGATGATGAGGAATTCAGGAGGTTAGAATTTGAGATAACACAAAGAATGGATCCACCTGCATCATTGCAAACGATTTTGAGGCATGTCATTCAAGGTCTCTTCTAACCATCGGTGACTACTACACTCCCCCTTATCACTTGTTCAAGTGCCGATATAACTGTGAAATATTGTAATTTAGAGAAGGAAACTATTTTTTTGCTTGAAAATAACAAGTTCGTTTTTTCTGATTGGTGTGTCTACAGTTACATCGACTAATTGACCTCCTCTATTCAAATATTCATTCTCTTCTCTTTATAGTCTTTGTGTTGTGTGTGTCACTATTAATTGGTACGCATTCATTAACATCTTTTTTACGTATTATTATCATTATTATCTTTTTTTTCATTTCTAGCCGACAAACTGTAACTAGCACTCCATGTTGGATTGAAATTCACTTGAATGGTCCATTACAATGGCTTGATCGTGTCCTTAGTCAAATGGGTTCACCGGATCATCCGTGTACATCTGTCAGTTGAATCAACAAGAGTCTGTTCATTATTTATTGGATTATTATTATTATTACGATTATGATTATAATTATCAATAATTAATAATGATAATTGCTGTTCAGAATACACTATCTCTCTTGTTCATAGTATCTTTTTTCCGACGTCTTTCGAATAATACTCTCCCTTTCTACGTGTAATATTATTTCTATTCTATTCCTTCCACTGCCGGCCGGCTAACAACATGTCCCAGTTTAAACATGCGTTCAATTTAGTGCCCAGTCACAGTTTTGTGCTGTTCACTTGATAATTATTTCTATTACATCACATTTTACTCCCTTTCTTTGAATTATACAAAATTATACAAAGGTTAAAATCATGCCAAATATTCATAGTCCTCTCTCTCTCTCTCTAGCTCTCTTCATCTTCTCCACTCAGCCAAGTCACACCCCGTCCCGTCTATTCTCATGTATTTTATCTGTTCAGCTTTTATATTTTGAAAAAAGATATCAAGTATGAACATCTTGGCTACCATTATGTTTACTCATTACTACTATTAGTGTTGTTGCAGTTCATTTCTGTGTAGTTATTCATTCCATATTGTTGATAGACTCTCTCCTTCGCTCTCTCGCTCTCTCTTTACATATACATATATATGAACATTGCAAAATTGCTTACCGTTTGAATGCCTTAATTCCTCCTCCATGTATTTTATTTCCTTACTTTTCATGTTCATAATAATAAACGAATAACTCTTCTTATTCATTATTATAGTAGTTGTTATTATTGTTATCATTGTCTTTTTATCGGTATCATATATATTTCCTCAATTCAGAAAACAATATATATATATATTTATATATATTTATACACATAATTTGCACAATTATTTCATTTTGAAACACACTTACACAAACACGTACATAAATTGTATGCCCATTCATTTTTATTATTATTATTATTATTATCAAAATCAGGAAGTGTAAATTTATTTTGAAATGGTCCATTCTTTCCTTTTTTTTTGTTTTGAAGAAAAAAGTAGAAAGAAAAAAAAATTGAACGCAAAAGAAATTCTCTTGTGTTTTGTTTTTTACCCATTTTGATGAATAGTCAGCGCCTGTAATTATTTTTTACCCTGGTGTTTTTTGTTCTTATATATATATATATATATATATATATATATATATATATATGCGCTAAAAGTTGGTCCTAATGAATATCGTCACTATTATTATTATTATTACAAATGTATTATTTGTTTTATACACTGAACAACAACTCACTAACTACCCGGTTTTGGTGATGGTAGTGTTGGTGGTTTGTTTCTCGTGGGTTTCTGTATAATGCACATATTTATATATATATATATATATATATATCTGTATACGTTGCAACTCATTCATCATCATTCAATAAAGTGTCCTATTTGAAATTGCGCATTTTTCATTGGACGATCAACTACTACTACCATGACAATTTTAGTTTGGAAAAGTGTATTGATCATTTGTTTTCGACTGGAAAAAAGCGATGGTTGAGTAGTGTGATCGTTTTCTTTCTTTTACTTTTTTTTTTCTTGTTCATTTTATCTTCACCAAATTATACATTACAATATATTCTGGTCAGGTTTCCGTTTCATTTGGTTAACTAACTTTATTATTATTATTATTACTGATTACTATTGTTACACAATTTGTGTCCGTGTATGTATGTATGGTATCATGTGCAGTCGAATACCACCATACCATCGAATTGTGTGCTTGTATTGCAGATCTCTCTCTCTCTCTCTCTGTGTCTCTTCTCTGTTCTCTTATTATAATCAACACATGGCGATGTTAGTCAGTAATAATAAATTGTTTGTTATTTTCCCTTTAGCCCCCTTTATGTCTTGTTAAATAGGTTTTTTTCTTCTTTGGTTTGGTTGTTTGTTTGTGTACTATAACTTCTTAGTAAACTCGTTTTATGTGGCCTACTCCAAATAAATGATTTGGGATTGTATGTATATATACAAATATATGATCATGTTCCCCTTTCAAATCCGCTGACAAATGTTACCATTGATCAATAAAGTTCAAATTCTTCACTGTGGTTTCTATTGTATTTTATTATTATTATTATTATTATTATTTTGAAAGTTGTTGAGTAATTTTTTCATTTGTGCGTCAGTGTATACTCTTCTCATATACGTATACATATGCATATATATATATATATATAAACAAGTTGATTGAGTGTTTTTTTTTTCTGTCTTCAGTGCATGAATAACTTGGGTGTGATTATCTCTCATGTTTATGTTTTTGTGGTTGAAAATAACTTGTTACTTGAAAAAAAAATAGCATCGTACTTCTTTTTTCTTTTCTTTTCTCCGATCCAGCTATACCTGTGTTCATTGTGTTGATTTGATTATATAGTAGTAATTCTAAAGGAAGATTTCACTTTTGAACTCTAGAATTATTCATCAACAATTGACAATTGATCAAGTATAATTTTGTTAGAATAATGGCTAGCAATATTCATCGTTTTTTGTTTCATGAAACTTATATTGATCACAATTTAGACTACACTAAATTCTTCTACACATTATCGCAAAGTAAGTAATGCTGT